CAATAGAAGACTGATCTCTTGTTTCATAAAGTTCCATCTTTTGAAAACATTTATGACATACGTATATTGTTTCGTCATTCGAGTGTGAGGGTAGTCTTCATTGAACGAACATCCACATCCAAAGTTTATAGTCTGAGAAATCTTTCGAACCGTTATATTACAATCGGAAAGATACTTTTTATTCAGATCGAATGGAATACACGGTTCATTATAGTAAAAAGTCGATATCTCAGCCTTCTATCGTGCACGTTTCTTACTTTAAATATCTAGATACTGATCTAAACTGTATCAATTTATTTAATGATCCGAATCGAATTGTATCCATTTCGAGTATCTCATTAATTCTACTCGAATGCAAAAGAATATTTTCTGAACTGATATTTAATTTTAATTAGAGCATAAATCATTCTATGATAGTCAATCATCAACATTTCACAATCGTATGGAAGAAAATTCATTTAAATTTGAGTAATTGTATTCAATATTTGTAAATCTAGAAATAAATAAATAAATAAATGATAGAATTAATTTGAATAATTATGTTTACCATTGTCTAATTTAGCTTTCATAGCCGTAACTGCATGATGTGTTGTCACATAGATTGTACCAGGTGCTGTCTTCTCATAAAAATTCATTAGTTCAAGAGTACGACGAACATCAGCTTATAGTTAGGTGCAAAAATAAAATTAACTTTGAGAAGAAAATAACAAAATTAACTTACATCGACATTCACTTAAATATAATAGAATACCTCGTTTTTTTAAATCGTTATAAATCTAAAAAACTGTATTATATGTTTAATGTTTTTGGATTGAATACTGACTTCAATAAGTAATTTAACTCCAACTGTATCTATAAAATTTAATGGCGAACAATCGAGAATAACATATTTGTATTTAATATCTTGATTTTTATTCAACTCTTGTTTTTTATATCCAATAAGTGGTTCTTGTCGTAATTGAATATCGATTAGTTCATAAAATTTTCGTTTAAAAAATGGAGCATTACATGCATAAAGTGATTCATCAAAACGAAGAATTTTAATATTTGTATACTGTTGAGCCTGTACAAAATAATATATTCAAATTTAGATCGACAGTGAGTCATTCTAATTGCAAGAGAAATTGAATTTAAATTTAACAGAACTGAAAAATTATTTTAAATGAATAGCATATTCGGAATCAGCGCAAATGAATATGCTATTTATGTCACTATTAGAATAAACTATGATGATAAAAACTATCAAACATGAACCTCATTTTTCACAGTTTTGTATGCTTTTGCTACTAATATCGAGAAAAGTTCGGTTTTGCCAAATTTAAAAACTTATAAATAGAAACGTTTGAAGCCAATACACCAGCGATTCTAAATGAGGTAAGACTTTTTGTTCTATATCTTCTCATAAAGACCTATAGAGAGGTCTATAAAAGTATACTTTGAGACATCCTTCACTTATTCCTATTGGACTTACTTTACATTTAATGAAACCTCGTTTTTATGCTCAGTTTTTTATTCTTATTACGAATCTGAAGTCATATATTTGATTCGGATGAGTTTAAAATATGTTGTACCCTGATTATGGGTTCGAATGGATGAACATATCCATCACCCATCAACATTTCTGGCCTGGACTAACTTTTGGTACCAAAATTGTAATCTTTCGCATTATATCTTAAACGATGCAGAATTTCAAGGACTTTCAGAAAATACAAAAATTATTTTGGGACAGCATGACCCAGTATGGCTAGAATCAATATTCTGAAAAATGTTCATTTTAGTCAATAGTCCTTTTTACTCGTATATTAGAATTATCACTTGGTAAATGGTATTGTGGAATATATTGAATTACAGAATTTTGTAGAGAAAACATTTCTACATCTTTTGAGACGCCTTCGAACTCGATCGAATGTTCAGATGCAGAGAAAAGTGCAAAATACTAGAAAATAGTGATTTTTTTTATCAAGTCCCCAGGGGTGTGTTACTTATATGCTTTGGTATTTTTCATAGGAAAGTCAAAAAGAGCTAATATTTTGAATTTGAAGTGTTCAGATGATGATCTATCGTTTGAGATACTTAAAGTAAAAATTAAAATTTTATTGGCGACCGACTTAGTAGGTTCTCTCGTGGATCCTCTGCAAAACTTAACAGGGCTTTAAAAAATCTTCGAAATCTCACAAGTATTGGAGACTCATTGAGAACTCCATATAAGTTCTATAACATATCAACAAACACAATCTATTATACACTTAATAGTAATCCATTGTTTTTGAATGAAGAAGATCGAAATCCTACCATTAGACTATCGTAAGCCGCCGCCGCCGCCATAGCGTCACGACAGCAGCAGCTTCTTTAGGAAGAAATTTCAAAACTGCATGAATCTGCACAGAATCTTGATGTTCATATATATGATACTGTAAGATCTTTAGCAGCAGCAGTTCTAGTTCAAACGAGCCATGACCTTGAAAATAGAAATATTCTTTTGAATATCATCACGACAGTGGCAAGTTAATGCGTCGCGTTGCGGCAGTAGTAACTTTTTTTTTTTTACAGTTCATCGCGTCGCGGCAGATTCTCAGCAATTATTCTTGCGAGCAATTTTATTAACATATTTTAACGCAAACACACATTTACTAAAGCAAAATTGAAAATATGAACATTAATATCGAATCAATATTATATAACTTATTTTTCCTTCGTAGAATTTCTTAACCTACATATGATATATATTTAGTTTGTTTTTGTGAATAAAATTCGAGTCTAGTGGAAGAGTTCAACACTTACGGAGGAAGGCTCTCAAACTAATCTATGGCGTTTTCAATGATATTTTCCACTTGGCATGAGGTATATATGAAACAATTGAATAACGAAATTTCAATCTGAAATTTTGCTCTTATGGTCATTAGAATGCTCTAAAAATTTCAATGGAAAAAAAATGTTTACTAGACAATTTCATGTGTCAACTGGAAATGAAGATAAGAAATCATTTTTTTTTAAAGATAAGAGTGAGAAAATATATTATACAATTAATTGAATAAATGTCGATATACAAAACTACTTACTAATGGAAATACTTTGATAGTTTTGTAAATTTCTGTATCACCAACTTGACCGAGAACAGAAAAACGAGGTCTTTTGAAAAAAAAAATGAAAACATTTTTTTTGTTAAAATAAAAATACATTTACTTTTGAGTACGTATTGTATTTATAAGAAATGTAGTGCATAGACCTACATAGAGACCAATATCGACATCGAACAAAATTGTAGTTGCAAATGTTACAATCCATAAAATCTATTCAACAAAAATACTAAAAAAAACATTGTTTTGAATAATTTACTCACATATTCCATTGTACTTATACGATAGTAAAAATAGAAATCTTTAATTTGGAACAAAAGTCCTTTCAAATTAACAATAATAATAGCAGCCAGACAAGCCATTGGAAGTGTTTGAAACAATGGTGTCAATGCAATTATTACTATACCCAAAATAAGACAAGAAAAACCACCAACAAGTAAAGTTTTACCACCACTTCCTTCTTGTACTGCCGAACGACTTAATGAACCCGTATTTGGATAACATTGAAAGAAAGATGAAACCATATTAGATATGCCATAAGCTAATAATTCCTTATCATTTGAAATAAAATTTAAAAGAGAGAGAAAAGATTTATGAAATCATCACCTAAGCAAATTAAAAGAAACCTTAAGAGATCGTCCATGAGCGTATTAGAGTGATGCTCGATCAGCTCATGGAAGCTCTCTTAATATCTATTATCCGAATGAACTCGGCAACATTGATAGATATAATGAATGATCGATTGTACCTGATTCGAATTAATTTTATAGTTATGTTTTCGACCAAACATTTTCCCTATGGAAATTGAAATACTCAAACCGACCATAGTAATTGTAGCAGCATGTATGATTAAGTGTGAAATGTGATTGAATGAAGGTGAACTTGGTGATGGTAAACCTCGTTTAATAGGACCTACTACTGGTACACCATGACGATTGTGAAGTTGAGTAAAATGAGAGATAAGAGTACCGATAATCACCTAAAATTATTCATCAATAAATTTATTAATTTTTCATTTATATTAGTTGAAAAAGAGAAGGTCGAGTATACGAGGCACTTGATAAATTTTTTTTTGTTCATTCAATGCATCAATGTCCAAAATTTTAGGTTCCAATATCTTTCCTTTGAAAAGCGACTTTTGCCACTATCATACCTTTTTGAGGAAAAAAATTCTATAAAGACTGTATCAATTTGCGTTTCAACGTATCAAGACTATGGTTCGCGTGTGAATGTAGATCTGAAAAGCATTTGATAAATCGGTTACGGAAATTTTAGACTCGATTTAATCTATATTCGTCTTTTTCGTCCATGTGTCTTTTGCCGAACCTTTGTTTTTCCCTAGTTCGTTCGCATATACTAGCGTAATAATTCAAATGTCATTTCATTTTTTTCAATTTCTATTAGTTAAAATATATTATGTGCTGTCAATAAATAAATCCGCTGGTTTATACAAATCTAATGCATTTGACAAAACAAAATAAGTCTCGGTAGTTCCCTTTTTATTCTGTGATTTTTCTGTTTATTTAAATATAAAATCTGTGCTCTTGCTGAACAATTTAGGATTGACTGTCTCAATAATTTTTATATCAAATCCTTGATTAATCACATCGAATTCGTACAAAAAGGTGTGATCAGATTCATTTAACAATATTTTTAGAAAAGTCACTCTAGTGAATGAACTCGGTTCAAAGTATCGAAAAGAATCAGAGATGTTCATAGCGATGGCGTAAGCAATGCAGCAACTTCTTTTTTCATTGAGATTGTAAAATTGGATGAGTTCACATCTATTTTGAGTGTCTATAAGTTCAACAGTGAAAATTGAGATTGAATCTAATATGGATACAATCTAACTGTGCTAATTTGGCACAGTGGCGAAGGAGATTTTCGTCGAGTTTCTCGAAAACGGCAACTTTTTATATAGTTCACTGCGTCGCGGCAGTGGCAGATTTCTAGCTGCCATGAACATCTCTAACAAGGATATTCTGCTACTAGCATGCAGCAGAAACTTTTGGCTTTTTCAACACTTTACAGCAGAATGCTTCTAGGTGTTTAATTGACTAACTTGTTGAAAAATGTTTTGTACAATCCTATAGAAATTGGGCAAGTACACAGGTACTGAGACAAAATCTCAGCAGGGTACTTGACAAAGAGCCGATGACATACTGATAACAGGATACAATCTGTCTATAAGTAACGCACTCGCCAGGCCTCAAAACGGGCCACCCGATCCGGTGGCCCAGTCCAACCAAATATTTTGTCGAGCCGTCCAGTCCGAAGATTTTATCCTTTTTTTTGACATTTGACTCACCCATGACGGGGAAAGTTTCCGCACTACTGCCCTCCTCATTACTTTTTTTCTAAAAGACGAAAAATATGCAATAGGTCTCCATTGAGTAAAAAAATCTTTGTAAAAGAAATTTTCTTTGGGCTCAGGCCGGGCCAGGTTTCGAGGCTTAGCACTCATCCATCTTTTACCTTCTAATTGTTATAATCCGATAACTTAAGGTGACAAAGAACTGAAACTTATAGTGCAGTAAGTTCTAGTTTCATTAAAATTTTCATCTCACTTGGTCGAACTATGGTGATTCTAGAAGGATAGAAAGTCCTAGTGTAACGCACTCATTCAAAAGGACTTCTTCCATCAGAACCACTCAAAAAAAGCTCACATTCCTATAAATTTTCTCTCTCTGAACAAAATGTTTTTATCTGTGTTTGAAGCTAAGATAATAGATCTGAAGATGGTGACATATGGTTTTTAGAAGCTTGTTCCTACAAAGAATTATCACCGTAACACTACGATAATGTACTCATCAATTTTTTTTTGAACCCCTTAAACAAGTACATTTTCCTTGAAAACAAATAGAAGATAATCCATTGACATCAAACTGTTTCGATAATACTATTATTATTTCTATTTTTTTTTTAAATGATAAAGTAGTGTTCGAAATATGATAATAGACAGTCAAACTCTTTTTTCATCATCTTTGCACAAAAAACACTCTTGATTTTGGCTGACGATCACCATTTCTTCTCGTCATTATTCAAAACAAACAACATCTCTATCAATAGAGAATATACGAAATGCAATATTCATTCCAACTATGTATTGAGACTTAACAACAAAAAAAAATTGAAACATACTAAAATAAGTTCACTTGGAATAATAATACGCATTATTGATTTGTAACGATCATTTAATTGCTTAGCTATAAATAAGATAATGATAGATGTAAAACCAATTGCTGTTGATATCCAATTTATATTTTTGATTATTGAACTAAGCAATTTAACATAGAATCGAGGTAATTTAAAAATAACTGGCACATTGCGAGGACTTTGTACACCGAAAATTGATGGAATTTGACTTGAAAAGACATGAATAGCAGCACCCGTTGTAAAACCACTAATAAATGGTTCTGTTATGTATACAGTTACAAAACCAAGACGAAGAAACGATAGAATTAACTTTAAAAAAAAACAAATTTTCTAATATTGTTTTTTTGGATTTATTCAATTCACCTGCATAAGTCCAACAAGAAAAGCCAATGTCGTAGCAATACCAACTTTTTCATTGATGATCATTGCATCGGATAGATTTAATGTTACATCATACGATTGATTGTTTATACCATTGAAAGATTCAAGTGGTATTTCATTGATAGCTTCTGCCGTCATCAATGATAGAATAGCAAATGTACCTTTACAAAAAAAAAAGATAGATTAATTAATCATAAGAAATATTCTATTATACATAAGACTAACCGACAGATAAATGTGGACAAGTACCAAAAATCATATAGAGAAGAACAGGAAAGAAAGAAACATATAATCCTAAAGTACATATAAAAATATATCAAATAACTTAAAAAACATATATACCATAAATAGGTGGTAACGTTGTCAAAATCCCATAGGCCATACCTATGATAATCATACGTATTCTATCATTCGTTTAATTTGTCTGTTACCTTGTGGTATATGCATGATGGCTACTGTAATACCAGCAATTATATCTGCGAAAAGATATTTTCGTAGATTGTATTTTTTAAGACAACGAATAATTGTTATTCGATCCAATAATATGTTGATAATAAACGTACAACTCAATGTATTGTAGAATTTGTTCAATTGATTTTTTATACGTTTTATTGTTGGTGTACGTGGTGTAACAGTTCCATAATGATTAATAAATGATTGAAATCTCATTTGTGGACGATTTTCTTGGAGTTGTTGATTGTGTATCTGTTCTTCGGCAGATTCATTTTCATAATTAATGCTCGGTACAGTTAATAACATGTTTATTCAACAATCTCAAATGAAACAAAAACAAAAAAAAAGACAATACTTCAATGCAAGAATCTGTTTAATCACAGATCGAATCAAATTGAGTTTTGTTTTAGTTCGAATTCAGTTTATTGTTGACTTAATTTAAGTAATCCTAGTTTCAACTAATCAGAAGTAGACGATAGATCAAAATTTAATTTTCAAACAATTAGGATGTCATATTATATTTGACTATGGGTATCAGAGATGTCCATGGTGACGCTGCCGCCGTGGCAGCTTTTTTTAGAAAGAAATTTCAAAAATACATGAATTTGCATAGAATCTCGGTGTTCATATATGTAATACTGTGAGACTTTTAGCAGCAGCAGTAGTTCTAGTTTAAACCAGTTGCGGTCTTGAAAATCGAAACATTTTTTTGAATATCATCGCGACAGTGCGAAGTTCTTATGATAGTGCGTCGCGTTGCGGCAGCGGCAAATTTTTATATAGTTCACTGCATCCCGGCAGTGGCGCTGAGTCTTGCCTCTTCTAGGACTTTGACGCGACGGTGGCAGATATCTAGCCGCGATGGGTATAAGTTAATAGATTTATCAATCGAAATTTAAATTTTCATTGCTAATATGTAACTATCAGATGTTCTTCAAGCGCTAACACTAAACTCACACGACTACCAGAGATGTCCATCGCGACTAGAAATCTGCCACTACCGCATCGCAGTCGTAGAAGAGGCAAGACTTAGCGCCACTGCTGCGACGAGGCCCTAGAAGGAACAAGGCTCAATGCCGCTGCCACGACACGTTCCTAGAAGAGGCAAGACTTAGCGCTGCTGCCGCGACGCAGTGAACTACATAGAAATTTGTCACTGCCGTGATGGTATTCTTGAAATATCTCCCGTGCCGCGGTAGTTTCTAGAAAAAGTGCCGCTAACGCCGTCGCGACGTCAGTGCCTCCATAAACATCTCTGCCTAATACAGAAAAATGGCGAAATAAAACAAAGAAAAGAATTATACTGCGTAGAAGTGATCCACAATCATAAACAGAATTAGTGTAGTTCGTAAGCAGAGAACCAAAGACTGTGTCACATGGAATATGTAAAACAATCAATCAAAACTCGTTTTATCTTCCATGACTGTATCATAGTCTACAAAGCTGATTTTCATTTAGGATTTAACTGTATTCAATTTATTTTTCGAAAATTAGTTCAGTTTAGAGACCAAAAGACAATCTCCTGTAATTGTCTTCAAAGTACTATTAGATGTGGATGTATAATTACAAATAACACATAGATATAATACAATTGAGATATCTTTTTACTTGGTTGAAATTTTTTATGAGACTTACATTTATTTGTCTGTTCCAGTTGGTTAAATAACGAAAACTTCAAAACAAACAAGAACAATTTTTGTATGTTTTAGTACAAGAGTATGCAAATCATATTCAAAATCACTTCATCATTTTCATACTCGAGAGCTCGCCCAGTCCAAAATTTACGAACCCGATTTATTGAAGATCTTTGGGAATCGGCTCTAATTGAAGAGCACTTTGATACTCTCAATGAAATTTTCTTATCAGAATCGGATGGCCGCCTGGAAGATTGGTTTTTCATGGCAACAGCATAACTAAACAGTCTGAAGTGAGTGGCTTACTATCTAAACTTTGATAAGTTCTTATGTCAGAATAATATGTAAAAAGTTGTTTTTTACGGATAGTCAATAGACTCCTACGCCCTCTAAAAAGATTCCGCCGCCCTTGAGACTAATGTTATTTTATGTATTTGTATAGAACACAACTTTTGTGAATTGATATTATTTGAATTATTAATTCGATTTCAATTGGATGAAATAATATGATATTACAAACACTATAAAACTTTATAATAAATTACCTTTATACTTGTTAAATAAAAATTATTTTTTTATTCTATTGAATGCTATGTTAAAATATTGTTTAACACATTATATATCTTGAATATTCATTCATTTGAATAAATTATATAACGAATGGACAATTTTCGATACAAGTAGTCTGAATGTAAATGTTAAGAGACTATATATCAAAGGTGAAATAATGACATGACAATGAAAATAAAATATCAACATGGGACTATTTTGTCTTAATCTAATGTAAATGATAATAGAGACTAATGCCTATCTATTCAATTCTTTGATAAAGAGATAAGGGCAAAGTTTTATTTCATATGACGAAAACAATCTCTATGCAATTTGTCACATATATCAATTGTGAATAATCAAAATAAATTTCAAATTCGATCAAGAAAAAAACAAATCATAATGATATTTTAGATATTGTTTTCAATTTTTAAAATATCTCTTTTCTGATCACTTTCAAATATCTTAATTTTATTAAGAATATATTCATTTTTCTTCTATGACCGTCTTCATACTTATTTCATAGTCAAATTGATACAAAATAAAAGTTAACTGAACATTATTGATAACTAATCGAAATTAGTAATAACTTTCGTATTGAGAAAGTCGATATCAGATATGCACATGACAACATTCGCTGTATCCATTAAATGAATCTCATGAATTAGTAACGAGATTGCTTGTTTAATACAGTGATGTTTGTAACATTGTTCGCAGCATTAGGGCAAGAGCTTTTTCCTTTGCATGATTGCAGTTTGGCAACAGCATATTTACAGCTGTGATAGATATCTCTGGATTGTGTGTGATTGAGTCGAACTTTTTGGCTCAAGACTAAAGAATTTTTTGGGCATTTTGACTTACCTAACTAAGAAGTGTCAACATTCGCGAATTCCATCTCCCTTTCATTATATAATCATTGCAATGTTTGTTCATAGTAAAAAATTCTGCTACGCAGAACATACTCTTTCAAATGTATATTTGTTTTTATCTATTAATTTCTTAATTCATTGATCAAAACCAAAGAAATAAGAAATTATATTTACAAACTACGAAATGGAATTCAAGTTTATTACAGTCTGAAGTAAAAAAAAAACACAATTATAGTTTAATCTTTTTTTTGTATCTGTTTTTATTCGCTTCTTCACTTTCACTATCAATTATTTCTTCCATCAATAATTCTAGTGCCCAGTTCTGACGATTTTAGACAAGAACTCGTTTCTGACTGAAAACGGACGTACATCACTCATTTGTATGAAAATGGTACTTTTAATTTTAAATTATTCATCTAATATTCTTTCATAATTATTCGCACAATTCAATGAACGATCATCTCTGTCATTTAACTTAACAATGTCAAAGTTCATTTTCCAAAAATGACAACATATAATCTGATAAAAGTATTATACAGAGAACACACATAGATGTATTACATTGCATTCAGAAAGGAAAAAGATTTTATATTTTCCGACGCAAAACATAAATAAATATAAGTATACATAGAATAAAAGGTAATGGAAAGAAAATAATAAATAGAGTCATCTTTCCTTCACCTGTTCTCGGTAAAGGTTTCAATGTTGACAGTTGATTTAATGAGTTTAAAGTACATGTTCCATTTAATGATAATGGGATACAAACTATCTGTGCACAATCTGAATCAATAATACAGATAGAAGATAATGATGAACAAGATTGACAATTAGAAAATGTTGAACATCGAAATTTTGATGTACAAAAATCAGTATTATTTAATGTTTTATAACAAAAACATTTTGAATTCATTAATGAGTTATTTGTAGTCAATGAAGGAAGTTCTGTTGAATAGAATTCTATAAATAAAACAAAATTCGAATTAAATAAATGAATTGATTTAGAAAATTA